CTCTCTCTCTCTCTCTCTCTCTCACACACACACCCTGGCTGTCCTGGAACTCACTCTATAGACCAGACTAGCCTCGAACTTACAGAGATCCTCCTCCCTCTACCTCCAGGATTAAAGGCTGTGCCACTACTGCTGGCTTTCTTTCCTGTTTTTTTTTTTGTTTGTTTGTTTGTTTGTTTTTTTGAGAGAGGTGGTACATTTGATACAGGGTCTTTCTATGTAGCCCAGGCTAGCCTCGCACTCATGGTTCTCTTTTCTCGGCCTCCTGCATTCTAGGATCAACTATTTCCTTTTTTTCTATGTCATGCTCTTTTGGATAGGTCCACACCTGTTTCTGTAAATTACCAGGGATTAAATTCCCGAAGCTCTGTGGGTTGCCTTTTCTCTGTGGTAACTGCATACCTGTTTAGACCTCTCTGCCACAGTTTTTCCAAGTGAATCTTCGGAGTAATAATATGTAAGGATTCAAAAGTAGACCAAACAGGAGATAAGTAAAGGAATGAGTGGAGTTGTGTTCCGATAAAACTTTATTTACACAAGCAGATAACAGGTTGACTTGGGCTTATGAGCTGTTGTTACCAAAGCTTGTTTTAGACCAGGGCTTCATAAACCTTTTCCTTTTGTGACCTCGTTTCTCTAAATTTTTTAATCCTCTAAATTTTTATGTGATATTGATCATTCAGTCAACAGAAGTCTTCCCATTGTTTCCTAGATTTCTAAAAATTTCACTTTTCATTTCTTCAGTCATCTGGCGGTCATCCAGAAGATGTTGCTCACTGTCTGTGTGTTTGTATGCTCTGAACTCACTTCTAATTTTTGTTTTGTTTTGTTTTTGAGACAGGGTTTCTCTATGTAGCTTTGCGCCTTTCCTGGAACTCACTCTGTAGCCCAGGCTGGCCTCGAACTCACAGAGATCTGCCTGGCTCTGCCTCCCAAGTGCTGGGATTCAAGGCGTGCGCCTCCACTGACCAGCCTGAACTTACTTTTTGATGTGTAGTTCTATTCCATTGTTGTCTGAGATAATGTACAATGTTGTTTCAACTTTTAAAGTTCATTGGAACTTGATTTTTGGTCTGTCATGTGATAGTCTTGGGAGATGTATGTGCTGAAGAGCAGAACATGCTGTGTGCTGCTCATGAGTGACACAGTCTACACATATGGTTAAGCGTTGCTCTCTTGTCCAACCCCGGTGTTGCTTAGTTGGTTTTCTACCTGGGTTATCTGTCCATTGAAGAAAGTGGGGTGTTAGAGGTCCCATCGTTACTGGATTAGAGTCTCTCCCTTACGTCTAATAATATCTCTTCCTGTATTGAGGTGGTCACATTGGGTGAGTGTATCTGCAGTTCCCATGTCTTTGTGTTGAATCAATCCTTTCTTCCTTTCATGATGACATTCTTTGTCTCGTTGATTCTGCTGGTTAAGGCCCGCTGTGTCTGGTGAGGGCAGCTGCTCCTGTCCCACACTGTTCCCGTGTGTGTGTGTGTGTGTGTGTGTGTGTGTGTGTGTGTGTGTGTGTGTGTGTGTGTGATTGGTGGTTCCAGCCTCTGTGTCTGGTAAGGGCGGCTGCTCCTGTCCCACACTGTTCCCGTGTGTGATTGGTGGTTCCGGCCGCCTCCTTTAGATTCTGTGTATCCTCACTGGAGTGAGTCTTCTCATTAGCAGCACATCATGGGGGCTTGCTTTCTCTTTGTTGCATAAATCCTAATTAATCTTAATGAAAACCCAGTTTTCACCCTGATCAGAGAAGCAGAGCAGGCCACAGCCACCACCTCTTACCTCACCAGCTCCTCAGCCTGAAAGAGCCGGAGTTCCAGTCTCCTCTCGCCTTATACACCTTTCTCTGCCCAGCCATATCACTTCCTGTCTCAACCTTCCTAGTGCTAGGATTAAAGATGTGTGCCACCAATGCCCGACCTCTGCAGCTAGCTCTGTCCTCTGATCTCAGGCAAGCTTTATTACAAACAATATATCACCACACTCTTTTAATCATTTAGCCAGTCTGTTTATTTTGATTGAACTTAATCCATTTAAATTCAAGATTATTGTTTATAATTAAGAACTCTTTTCTGTTGTTTCACTAATTATGCACTGCTCACTTTTCATGACTTTTTCTTTATGATTTAATAACTTTCTGATATGCTGTTTAATTTTTCTTCCATGTATCTGTTCTTCTAGAGAATTTTGTAATGTTCATTTTTGTGACAGGTCCTCAAGTATTTCTTGGATGGCTGATTTAGTAGTGCTGAGGTTCTTTGGATTCTCCGACTTCATTTCTTCTGATTTGGAAGGATAATTGTGCTGGGTATAGCATTCTTTTTTGGTTGGGAGGGTATCTTTTTTCTTTTACTGTTTTGGCTGTATTATTCTCTCATATCTCATTTGGCCTGTAAGCTTTCTTCTAAAAACTCCACTACAGGAATCTGCTCTCAGTCTTTTTTTTTCTTTATTTTTTTTGGAAGAAAACCTTAATTGCCATTGCATAAAACACCTGTATGAAGTAAAAATTGGTCTTGAATAACATTAGTAGAGAATATGCTCTAGAAAGTGGAGGTAACTGGATGTAAAAACTCTGGCAGCAATTTAATAGAACAGTCGCAGATGGTCAGCTGAGGCCAGCATCTAATGAGGACGAAAGCCTTGTCTGTGGGGGATTTTGGACGATGCCTGCAGAAATATTACACTGTGCATAAACCAAATTGAATTATTTTCACAAGTGTCATAAGGATTCATACAGTCAAAGTTCTTTTCTACATGCACTTCAATTCCACAGCAAGAGTGGCATAGAACACCTAAACACAGAGGAGAGCATTCATGCAAGATACCTAACTCCTTGATATAATAATGCATACACTTCAAAATGATCACACTATCAATAGACCTAGGGCTTTCTGCAACTACAAGGTGGTGGTCATGGAGAGCACAGCCCCCAGTGTCAGCATCTAGAAAGCAGCCACCACCTCCTGTGTGTCTTCTCTTTTTGCATTTTTTCTTCTTCATTTTTCTTAATCAACTCTGCTGTTGTTGCTGCTTCTTAGCAAAACTGGTAAAAACAAAATTGTAATCGTTGAACATAGCACTCTGGCAATCAAGACGTTTAAAACCTTCAGTCTTCTGGGGGGAAGAAAGCACTGTGCGACATTTAGAACTCTGATTAACAAACAAGGTGGCCACAAATTTTCCTGGCGTGAAGACTTCCACAACCTTCCTGATCAGGTCATCGTAGGAGGTCTGACAAGTTTGTTTCAAAGCTAGCATAAGAGAATTCTGGTTCTGGAGTGATGTGAATAGTTCAATATGTTCCATCCGATTTCATCCCATTCATCGAGTAGCCACAAGGATTGAACAGTGTGGCATCAATGACAGAACCTGGTATCAGGTCACGAATTCCACTCTCACAAGTGACATCCTTTGCAGTAACACCATCTTTCATGTAGAACTGGTCCATAACTGCTGGGTCGAGCTCACTCATCAGAATTTCCAGGGTTTGATCTGGCTGATTGATTACTCGGCTCTCTGGGAAATCCAAAGTATACAAGTACCAACAGTCAGAATTCATACGTCCCATACAATATGCTGCTCCATTTAGGAAAATTGCATTAAGAAACTCAATTTCTTCCTGGAAATTCCGGTGTGGGTACCCTTGGTGAGAAGGCTTCATAAAATTCTTACGAGAATAAAAGAAGCTTTGAATTGAGTCAAACCCACTGTAATCCCTAGCAAGCTTCAACAGGGGAACCAGTGCTTTCAGTAAGAGGGTGGTACCACTTGTCTTCAAAATGAACCGTCTCTTGGAGACAAACATACTACTCTCACTGAGTACATAAACTTCCTGCTTGTCAGTCTTTGCCACACTTATGATTGAGCACTGAACATCCTTCAAAAGGACATCCCACTCAGATCTTGGGATGGTGCGGAGATCCCCAGATCCCTGGCTTGCGTCGGACTGCTGCCTGGAGAACCAGACCTCCAGCAGTTTCTCGGTCCCTTCGAAAAAATGTGTAGCTTCCATCACCGTGAGACGAGCGAACAACCAACAACCACAGAAAATCAACTAAATTAAATCTCTTCTCCCGCCACTCCTGCCGCCGCTGTGGATTGTTCCAGCTGTGTTACTAAAGTTCAGGTTCCTTTTTTTTTTCTATAATTTTATATTAACTTTTATTTTCTTTCTTTCTTTCTTTCTTTCTTTTTTTTAAGGACTAATAAAATTTTCCCGGCTTTTTTTTTTTTTTTTTTTTGTAAGCGAAAGTTGAATGTGAGTCTGTTGGAAATAGAGGCAGATACAGTTCAGTCTCTTGTAGTCCACTGCTTTCCCATTAGAGAGAGTTGAGCGAGCGCTAGCTAATGTCGCTGGCCATACTGTGTCTTAATGGACCATTGCTTATAATGTGACGTGACTCTTCTTCCAATTTTTAGGATTTTCTCTTTGCACTATACCATTGATACAATGTGCTTGGTGATGATCTGTTTTGATTGACTCTAGAGACTTTTCAGCATCTTGAATCTGTGTATCTGCTTCCCTTAGAAGATTTGGGGCATTTTCCACTATTATTTTGTGAAATGGGTTATTATTACTGTTATTACTGTAGTGTGTCTTTGGCGGGAGGGTGCACACACGCTGCCATGTTGTGAAGGCAGAGGACAGCTTTGGCTCTCCCCTTCTGCCTTTACCCAGGCTCCACGGATTGAACTCGGTGGCCAGGCTGGCGGTGACAAACACTGTCCCCACCGAGCCACCTCACCAGCCTGCAAAAAGGGACTCAATACTTTCCCCCTTTTCTTTACTTTCCAGAGTTACCAAGATGCATATTTGCTAACAGTCTCCCATATGTCTTCAAGGAGCTCTGTCTGTGTCTGTCTTTCTGACTAGGTTAATTATAAAAGCCCTGCTGGTGTTGGTTTGTTGTGAAAGCATTCTCTTTTATTTTTCATGTAATTGAAGTTTTCGGTTCTAAGGGGTTCCAGCTGGTTCTTATTTTCTGAATTTTCTTCTTTATGTTGTTGATCTCTAGCCTCCTGCATCTTGAACTAGGTTTCGTTAGGGATGCTATTCTGAGTTCTTCTCAGCACCTCGGAGGTTTTCTTCAAATTGAGATCATTTCTGGAGAATTACGTTCTCCTTTGCAGGTTCTGTGTTTCCTCTGCATCCTGTACCTTGTTGGTGTCTGTGCAGCTGGTGTGTGTGTGTGTGTGTGTGTGTGTGTGTGTGTGTGTGTTCTGATCTTGTGAAGGACCTTCCGTAGGAAAGGATGTTTGTGTTTAGATGGGACATAGGACGCCAGTCAGCTTGGGCACTTGTGGTTGGTCACGGAGACCCCAACAGCATGGTCTTTGAGCGTTTTCTCCCTCTAACTGATACAGCGTGGTTGTGAGCACCTTTGCAGTCAGATTGCAGCCTGAGAAAGCTGTATGACCCTGCAGTGGAGGTGTCTTCAGGCTTCACAGAGTCTGGCTGCGATGACACTTTGGTGACAGTGGCATGTGGAGAGAATGGTCTATGTTCTGTAGGGCAAGTGCAGATGGAACCAAGGACTGACAGCAGTAGCCACGGGATCTCCACAAAGGAGATCTTCCCAGGACTCCCAGGTTTCTGTGGGAGATGCCTGGGACTGTAGCAAGGCTGTCATGGTTCTGGAGATACAGGGTGACGATGGGGCCCTGGCTTTGCAGGCTTTGGAACACGAAGGAGATTGTTGTGGGTCCTGCTGTGTGGTTGTTATGGTTGGTCTGGTGTTGGCGGGTCAGGGAGAAGGCTTTGTCTAATTCCTCTGGGGCGGGCACAGGTGAACTCTGGATTGTAGCTGTGGCAGCCTACAGGATACCGAAGGGGACTCTTCCACCAAGTGAGGCACACACTGACCCAAGGCTTCCGGCGGGCCAGGCATTTGGCTGTTGGCTAGAGCTTCGTCTGAGCAGTGGCTGCCACAGTATATATTCTGGGTTTGGAGGAGCTATAAGGGAGTGCCTTCTTTGCAGCTGAGGTGTGACTTTTAGACCAACCAGCTCCTGGAATTGGGTCTAAAGCTTGCAGAGTCAGGACTGCGGGCTGCTGGTCCCCGCTACTTACACCTTTCTGCTCTGAGGTTTATTTTTTGTTTGTTTTGTTTTGCTTTGTTTTCTTCAAATAAGAAGATAGACACTCAGATTCATAAGGAACCTGCCCGAAGAACAAATTGAGATTCGAATCCAAATCCTTTGGTTTTGAGACAGAGTTTCATTATGGTAACTCACTCCGTGGCCCGTGAACTTATAGTGATCCTTCCTTGTCTCTCAAGTGCTGAAATTACAAGTCAAATTCCAAATCTTACAGCACCTAAGTTCAAGATTCTAATATTCTCTGCTTTATGTGACTTCCAGGCAGCCTTGGCCAGTGAAGCTGTCAGGAAGCATCAGCCTCAAGCAGGGGGCAGCAGGGCTCAGAGTGTGATGTCTGTGGCAGAAGTCCAAGGGCATCCGGCATTCAGCCCCGGGGATCTTATTTTTGGTACCTGTCTCTCAGATTTGGACAAGCCACCCTCCTTCCTGGTAAAGGGGTCAGAGCTAGAATGGTAACCCAAGGCAGAGATTGGTACTATATTTGTTTTCCAGAGGAGAAAACACCACAAACCACAGCTGGATGAAGATGAGACGCTGCAGGTGAAAGCTGGGATGCTTTAAGCATCTCAGGAATCCATGCTTTTTTTTGTTGTTATAAAAAGACTACCTTCCTGTTAATTAGCTGCCTTTTTTCAAGCATGGTTCTTGACCTGGACATATGTTGTTTCTTCCAGAAACAAGCAGTTCAGGCCGGTGGCCACGTTAAGGGCGGGGAGATGCAGGCGACAGCGGTCATCTCTGGTTCTCTCTTGCAGGTGTTCACCTTGCTGTGGATCGCCGACTGGATGGTCCATCGCTTCTGGAGGAAAGGGAAGGACCCAGACAGTTTCTCCATCCCCTACCTGACGGCACTGGGTGACCTGCTTGGGACAGCTCTGCTGGCCTTAAGTTTCCATTTCCTCTGGCTAATCGGAGACCACGATGGAGACGTTGGGGACTAATGGATCCTAGAAGCTGTTGCGGGGTCGCCCAGGAGGAGAACACAAGGCAGCCACTGCTGCCCCTCCCCAGCTCTCTTCATCTGTTGTGTGACTTATGCCGGGGTAGTCTGCGGTTCACCCTGACTCCATAATGGCCTTAACGTACTTTTTAAGGAATTTGTGCTGAAACCACAATGAACGGTATTTGTGCTGCTTTTTGTAGAATAAATAATTTGACACAGACATAGATACAAGCTCACACTCTGAAGTTAATTAGGAAAGAATATAGGATGTTTACAATGAATAATTTTGAAACCACAGAGCTAGCAGAAATACACTTTATTATTAAGTTATAGTGCAAGGTTAGAGGCAGGGGAGCCTCAGCCGCCTTTGTCCTACAGCTGTCTCCCTGCAGCGGATGCTGTGACGGGAAAGGGACCAGCCGAGCTTCCCTAAGTGTTAATTATGCCCTCCTCCGCGGGAGCAAGGTTGCCAATCACTTATTCCTAAACTGACTAATTCCTTCTGCTGAACACGTGACAAACTGACTTGTATTGTGTGTAAAACTGCCCTGTGCCAATGCTCATTTTATGTCAAGTTCTCAACAGGTGATGCTTTAGGAGAAGGGGTCGCCATGCCGCCCCCGCAGGACTTCAGTTTGCAGGCCCCTTGCTCTGGTTCCCTCCTCCTGACCCTAAAAGCAGGGGGCCGTTTTGTTCATTTGGAAAATGTTGATCTGATTTAGAAAATGGTCATCAGAGCAGAAAATCAGTTGAGCTGTATTTGTGGGCACAGGATGTGTGTGTGTGTGTGTGTGTGTGTGTGTGTGTGTGTGTGTGTGTGTCCGTGCAAATATGTGTCAACATGTGTGTATATGTATGTTCGAGAGTGTGAGCATGTATAAGCATATGTGAGTGTATGTATGCATGTGTGTGTGTGTGTGTGTGTGTGTGTGTGTGTGTGTGTGTGTGAAGAGAGAGAGACAGAGGCAGATAGAGACCAGAGAGAAAGACAGAGAGAGACAGAGAAACAGACAAAGTAATTCCTTTTTCTAAAGTAAGTACCATTTAATATAAAACTGCTGAGGGAGTAGAGTGCCCATGACATTGACTGTCACAGTGAGTTGGTGTTGTGTAACCAGTGGGTGGTTGTAAATATATTGAGGAAGTATTCTTATTATTGTGGAGGCTGTGGTTTAGAGTTATATATTTTTGCTTACGTTTAAACTTCATTCAATTCTTCTGCCTTATAATCAGACTTTGAAGGCATGGTTTGAACTAATTATGGATCTCTCCTTTAGAGAGTTGTCACAGAGTGAACATGCTGACAAAATAAGCATAAAGTTTACATTGATGAATATTTAATTGCAAAGATTATTTTATGTTTTAAAAATTAATATACCTTTCCTTTTATTATAAGGTATTTGTGAATTTGGGTTTTGCATTTGGGCTGTACATTCTTTTGTTTTGAGACAGCCTTGCTCTGTCTCCCAGGCTGGTCTTGAACCTGAGGCCTATCCACTGAGCTTCTTTTCTTGAACTCGCAGAGTCAGTACCAGTGTTAGCCCTGGCCAACAGTGTGCAGGGGCCGACAGCAGTCTCTCCCGTCTGGATCGCAGGGACAGAGGGATGCAGAGGAGTGACATTGTTAAGACTGCACAGATGCAAAGGGGCCAGACTGTTCTAGACCTGTAGACTTCGCTGTGTCCATCTGCCCAACCCCCCAAAGCACACAAACTCTCCACCTCCTTACCTGAGAGGAAGCCGGCTGGAGAAAGTCCAGTCCATGTTCCTAGTCTTCAGAATTGCAGGGATGCCTCCACCGAATGTCTTGGTGGTCAGCACAGCCAGCTCGGAGCTAGTCATGTTCCTAATGTCAGAGAGACTGTAAATGAAATAATGAATACTATAACTTATAAAATATTTTCCACTTTATGATGAAGACTTTTGATTATAAAACAACACCTCATTTCTTTTCCTTTTGTTTTTGTTTTGTTTTTCGAGACTGGGTTTCTCTCTGTGTAGCCCTGGCTGTCCTGGAAGTCGCTCTGTAGACCAGGCTGGCCTGAAACTCACAGAGATCCTCCTGTTTCTGCCTCCCGAGCACTGGGATTGAAGGCATGTGCCACCACTGCCTGGTGACGCCTCTAAGCACCAGCCCTCTTCCTAGAGTTACTGTGCCATGGGAGGATAACGGGCAGCTGATGCTCAGCCTTTGTCAGGACAGCAAACCGTCTAAGATGAGTGCAATTGGCAAAAACAGACGCGGCCTGAATGGGTTGTAAAAGGATATACATTTCTTTAAAAACAATTGCAGATCTTTGAAAGTCTTCATGTAAGCATATAAGTTTTATTTACCCATAAAATTTATTATCAGTCTTAGGTAAACTAACAGTATTTTTATACCACAAAAAAAACCCTACTTTCCAAAACTCTTGTCCCACTAATTTACCAGGCACATTCTACACACAGCTAAATAAATCATATTTTTTTATTCTTGACCATCCACCTTTTTTTTTTTTTTTTTTGAAATTTCCAAAGTTTCTTAGAGGCTAATGAAACACGTGGAGGATGTCTTATGGAGACATCAGAAAACCTCACACCATAAGCTGCCCGTGATGTGGCCAAATGAGTCCTTTAAAGTCTCTCAGGGGGCCGGGCGGTGGTGGCGCACGCCTTTAATCCCAGCACTCGGGAGGCAGAGGCAGGCGGATCTCTGTGAGTTCGAGGCCAGCCTGGGCTACCAAGTGAGTCCCAGGAAAGGCGCAAAGCTACACAGAGAAACCCTGTCTCGAAAAACCAAAAAAAAAATAAATAAATAAAGTCTCTCAGGGGTGGGGCGTCCCTTCCTCCCTGTGTCTAAGGTATAGTTTACCCGCTGACCGTGGGCTCTGGCACCTTGGAATTGTGAAAACCCAGTCAAAATAAAATGTGAGAAGCATTCCCTTGTGCTGCTGTGGTTTCTTTAGTTACTCTGTCAGCTACAGAACCTGGAGCGTGTCTGGAAAAGCCCCAGAGGGTCCAGGTGGTCTGCACCACACACACACACACACACACACACACACACTGTGTTTATGGAGCGCGGTACCTGGGCTTTGATGGGAGCCGCACCTCCAGCCCACTGCTCCGCTCTGCTCTTCCGGTTGAGTGCTCCTGCCTTCCCTCCATCACCTCCGGCAGAGCTGGGTCCATCAGTCCCTTCTAGACAGGGCCTGGCTGCCTAAACAGAGCTCACAGTCTCTGTCTGTCTCTCTCCCTGGCCCTGAGCCATGGAACATGGCCTGTGAAAGACACATGCCCACTCTGGCCCGTCTACGTTTCTGGCTTCATTCGGTGGCAGGAAGCTGAGTCCTCTGCTGTCATTACTTGTGCTTGGGACATCGATGTGTCGCCCCCAGATTACTGAAAGTACATTCATCCAGTGATTAATTCCCACTAAGTCCAGTGATTAATTCCCACCAAAAAGTGTCACCTTAAAAAAAATATCAAACCAGTTGGAGGCAGAGGCATGCAGATCTCTGAGTCCAAGGCTACCTGGGCTACAGAGCAAGTTCCAGGACAGCCAGGGCTACACAGGGAAACTGTCTCGGAAAAAAAAAAAAAAAACAACAACAAAAAGCACATGGGGGATGAAATGTGGCCGATCACATGGATGAGCACCTGGCTATCTCTAACTTGCCTCCGGGATCTGCCCACGCTGCCTTCCCTTCACTTCCTGAGGCTCCTCGTCCACTCTTCCCCCGGCTCTTTTCTTCTCAGTTTCTCAGTGTTGGGATGCTCACCTGGGTCTCCCCGGAGTCTCCTTTATTCCCCTAGGCCTCCCACATCGTTGTTACAGCATCTATGCTAATTCCTAATTTACTTTCCAGGTTCTAGCCTCTCCATTGAGTTCCCCATCTGTACCTCCAATGGCAGTGGACGGTGTCACTTCTTAAATGACTGGCAGCTGGGCACTACAGCTGTCACCACCAGCTGCAGTGGTTTTCAACAGATCACTGTACCCAATGGCTACAGGGTACACCTTAGAGCTGACTTCCCTCACCCACGCAGAACTTCTGTAAGTCAGGAAGACCGACAATCCAAGGGTGAGGCAGCCTGCGGAGGGGCAGTTAAGAGACAAGAAGACGTGTAGATGCTCATCTTTAAAATCAAAACAAGGCTAGGACTGGGGAACTGCTGTCGGGATCCCAGGACTTGGGAGGTAGAGGCACGAGGGTCAGGGTTGCAAGATCTTCTTCAGCAACAAGTCAGGTTTGAGGCAGCCTTGGATACATGAGACCCTGCCTCAAAAATGAAACATGAATTAAAGTGATCCTTAGCCACTGAACGCAAAACTGAATAAACCATGTTCTTGGCAAGGCTGTAGGGAGGTGGACAGAACTGATGGTAGTTGAACTGGATGGTAACAGTCTGTAGAGGAGATTCTGGCTATCAATCACAAATGCACTTAGCATTTGATTGTCCAATTTCCCCATTACCACTGAACAGTAACTCTATTTGCTGCCTGCTACTCTGAATAAAGTTTTATTAGAATGCACCCGTGGCTACTTCCCATCTCCATGTAGGACTGAGGAGCAGCTAGAAACAGCACAGCTGACCCTTTAATGGTGTGTTGACCATCCCCTGCCACAGAGAACGCCTCACAGTGGCCAGCTGGGGTCAGGCTACCACCTGGGGAGGACTCCCAGCCTGGGACTGGTCCCTTTCACAGCATGGTAAGTCACTCTCCATAGCTTGGGTGTTCCCAAACCTGGCTGTCTCTCGGGCCCCTCAAGCTCCTTCCTCTCTTGCATAAGGCCCAGCAGACTCCAGAGACATTGACTTATGGGCTTGTTTGGGGCTTCTGGGCCAGCCCCAGGTAGGCAACTCAGTGAGTAGATCAGTCTTCCCGCCTAGAATGTGTTGTTTTGGGGTGACCCACAGACACAGGACAGCTTCAGAGCTCACTTAGACTTGAGCCTCAGCTCTCTCCTAACCTTCTGATTGTAGCGCTGTGTCTGGACCTGAGAGGGTCTAGCCACAAAAGACTCCATACCCTCCTGCAGGTTCTGGGCCACATGCCTGGTTCTGGACCACAAGCCTGGCAGCCCGCTGGGTGAGGGTGGGGCATTGTATCTCTAAAGGCTTTCAACCACCATTGCCCTGGTGGCCCTTGCAGATGTCCTTCCTCTGCTTGGTATGGTGATATTTTCTCTGATCAGTCTTTTTTTTTTTTAGTTTTTATTTATGCGTATGCAACGGGTTTCACGGAGCACACGTGGCCACACTTAGCAGAGTGTGTGAAAAGCGGAGATCCAGCCCACTGGGCAAGCTATCACAAGTTAGGAATGCGGGGCACGTAGCCCAGATGTTCCGAAGACCATCGTTCTACATGTGTGCTGTAAAAGCCCACATGTCAAGTTTAAATCAACGTAAGTTAGCCCAGGCACAAGCCGAGCACAGTCTCAGACACACTCTGTGCACTACCGGCCGTTGACAAAGTGCAGTTTCTTCTGATTCACAGGAAGCCGGTATGTATGAGGGCGATGGGGGCTGGATGCTTGGAATGAATGGTCTTCAGGAAATGCTCAAGGCAAAGAAATCCACTCGGTTTCAACCCAGCCGGTTCTGAAGAGCCATGTCGGTATAACAAGCAACAACGATGGGATCTTTCCCTCTCTCGGTGGAAAACAGGAAGTTAGCCCGAAATGACACTCTTGACAATGAGGAAAACACACAAAATATGGTCCCTGAACACTGAATCTTCACTTGTGCTCATTGGACAAAACTCCATCACAAAAGTGCCTCTTCTTAGGTCCAAAGCGGGCACCCCTCAAGCCCCCAAAACGGCAGTGCCCCTGACCGTGTTACAGGTTACAGTCTGGGCTCTGCTCAGGCTGGACTGTCGAGTTGCCACCTCAAATCAGCATTCCTCAGACACCTTGTGAAGGGGGTTTCTGTTGGCCAGGAAAGGCCATTACTTTCTTATCCGCCACCCACAGCCCCCCTCGCTCCGGAAAGGGGTCTAGTTCTCTATTAACTCAAACAAGACTCCCACAGATCAAAGCCTCACGCTAGTTCCCAGGCTGTCCCAGATAACTGGCCCACCTCCTGCCCACCATCGCCCCTCATAACTGGCAGGACCCCACCCTCTTCCTCCGACCCTGGAGAGAGGCTTGGCAGCTGGAATAAACCTCCCCTGCTCTGCCCACCGAGCGGTCTAGTTTTGGGGGGTGCACTGCTCCCTCACTGAGGCCTGTTTCCTCCTGTTACATTACAGTTTCAGGGATAAACCACTCCACAGGAGCTCAGGGAGTTGGTAAAACAGTTTAAAATCGAGTTGTGTATGAGGCCAGGGTCCCTGCAAAGAATATTTTTTTATGCAGAAGCCCCCGTGTCCTAGAGGCCCCTGGAACATGCCAAACACACAGCAAACCTACATCAGAGCTTGTTAACAGCAAAAGGAACAGCTGGAGCCGGGCGGTGGTGACGCACACCTTTAATCCCAGCACTTGGGAGGCAGAGGCAGGCGGATCTCTGTGAGTTCGAAGCTAGCCTGGGCTACCAAGTGAGTTCCAGGCCAGCCTGGACTACAGAGCAAGTTCCAGGAAAGGCGCAAAGCTACACAGAGAAACCCTGTCTCGGAAAAC